ATCCTTGGGTTTACACAGGCAGACACTGGGGTCCAAATAAAATACCATTACTCTAAGAAGAGAGCATATTAATGGAAAATCTTGGAAAGGGAGGATCGTGAGGAAAGAGTGTCAGCACCCTGTCTTGAGTTGGGGATTGTATGGTGCATTTGAGAAAAGCATCAACAAATCCTGGAGGAACTGTACTTGCTATAAATTCCTGGAACAAAACACTGAGAAACAAGAAAAGAAGACATGGGCCTTTTTAAAGAACTTGATAAAGGCCAATAATCATTGTTTCCTATGTGCAGGTGCCATTCTGAAACCTTCACATATACCATCCCATTCACTTTTCATAACAAACAACAAGGTGGGTGTTGTTAGCATCTCTGCTCAATGAAAGAGAAGCTGAGGCACAGAAAGTTTCAGAATATGAGACCATATTTACATGTGGGTGACAGCTGAGTTGATTTGATGCTGACATTCTCGAAACTGATGGGGTCAAGTTCTGTGATCTCTTGTCTTAAGGTTAAGACTGGTAGTCAAAGGTAGAGCAGTTTGGGTATAGATCTGAGTGTTGGAGAATTAGCATGTCTGCAAAGAGTGGACATTATAGGCTGGAAAACAGAGAGGAGGGGATTCACTCATGCATCTGAGTGGAGCACCTTCCATATTCCAGACTCAGATGCACACAGGCAGAACAGCTCCTGTCCTCATAGAGCTTACAGATTGAGAGGAGCAGTTCATCAGGGTAAGACAAGAAAGAGCTAGCCTATCTGTGATCACCAGTCTGGCCTGGTGGAGCTATTCCCTTGAACCAGCACATTCTACACTCTTCCAGGCAGGTAGGGGCCCTGCAGAGATCCAGGTGACACATAAAAATGGCCTTCTGCATTTCTGCTGACATGTCATCTGTATCTGATGGAGCAACATCTTCATTATGAAATTAGATGAAAATCCCAATGCACAGACTAATAGATAGCATCCCATGCTCATCCTCAGGAACAAGTGACAGAAACAGCAAAGTGCAAGGAATGGAGCCAGAGACTGCCCCCTCCCCATCCAATTCCATTTTCTTACCCACCTGTCATCTCCCCACAAATGCCATTAACTCACAGAAGGGATGGATCTCATTGCATTATCTGCCACCACAACAAAAGAGCTTTTTGTACTCAGACTGCAGTTAAACGATGGAATAACAAGATAAATTTTATACAAGAAGTTCCCTAATGGGATGGCACTCCCTGTGGGACCCCTTATTTCTAGCACAAGGGCAAGCAAGCTTTCTCTTTAGAAAGTCTGCAAATGGTCATTGAAGATCAGAGAGATGGAGCCGGTTAAAATGTGATGTAAAGCACCCTGACTTTGGTGCTGCAAGTTTCTTGCACTCATTCTTACCCACCCAGGGAGAGAAAGGCCATGAATGACTCCATCGAAGAGTAAGCGCCTGGCTCCTTGTCTTGCTTTCAATTTCCTACTTTCTCTAAGAGACAAGATTCATCATTGCCAGCTCTACTCACAAACACAATTATAACTTTGCTACCCTATGAGGGCAAGCCTGGCTCAGGTGGTATTCAATGGAGCCAAAGCATGAGTCAATTTAATTACACTGAATTCTCTCTGCCCAACTTAAATATTCATTTCCCCCAATAATTGCCATGTATTTATTTGTGTTAATTGATCACTCTATAAACCATACCTTCTTCAATAAAACCAAAGCCTGACATTCCTAGCTAGCAATAAGAGAATTTCCACATGGGCAGAAGGGGCTTCAAATCTCCTAGAAGGTCTTTAATTCTTTCATTCCATGCTAATAATATAAACCCAAGTTCAAGACCTAACCACAGAGCACTAGGACTGAGGAGAAGCTCCACGATGTCATCAGCATTTCAGAAACTTCTGATCTTTCGTGTCTGTAACTGTTAGTGTTAGATTCTTTTCCTTGAGGCTGAAAGATTGTTGCTTCCTCTCTACTCTCACTCATTGTAATGTGCAATGGAAGAGAATCTACCCTTGGATAGGGACTTGCTAAGGAATCCTCTCTGTCATCCCTACCTGAGTCCTGATTATTTAGCTGAAGAAAACTCTCAAGTTCTGGGTGGCATATTTTTGCTGTTATTTGGAAGTCCTATCTTCCACCATGGTGGGCATAGCATTAAGTCTGTAGAGTGCACTGAGGATTTCTGTTCACTTCTCTACTTTCTGTTTCCCAGGTGCAAGGCTGTATTCATGTTGCAGGCAAGATCCATCTTAGTAGGGGAGTAAGCAAAAGATGTTAGAGATTGAGGGATCTGAGGCATGATGACAGAGCTTATCTTCACTAACAGCTGTTTTTATATATTTTATTAAGAAAGAAGGTAGGGTCACACAGGACCCCTGACCTTTATGTTTCTATGCATCCCAGAAAATGTGCTCCCTTGAGTTAGTCTACTCACTTTCTACTAGCCTCATTTATAGGATACCTATAGTATTTTATACACTTACATGGACAATATATCTTTAACAGTGGTCACTATTTTTTTAATTTTACAACCGGGACACTAAGGTTTAACAAGGTTATGTTACCTGGTAAATGTAGCTTAGCTATTAAAACACACACATGTAAAATTTCCTGGACTTTTCTACCATATTGCATCATGGTCCCCAGATATACCTCTCAGCTATTATTAATTCATATCATTTTAGTTCACAGGGTGATGTTTTTTTTCTCTACTCTTCCTCTAAGATCTTTTACTTGAGAGCATATCTATCTACTTCTATCTGCTCCTTCAATCTCCCTAGCAAACTTCCACTTCAGGTCAACAGGTCTATGTCTTCTCTTACCTATTTGTTGTGTGAAGTGTTGTTTTCTTCTTTATGTAAAAGATACCTCATGATTTACCAGTGATTTTGTAAACACTTAAAAGCCAACATTTATCCTATAACACTGACATTTGTGTTCTTTCTGGGGTTGGTCTATGATAGCTAAGCATTTGGGATACGGGCATATTTTTCTTCAGAATAGTAGGAGAATTATGATTAGTGCCTTACAACAGAGAAGAATTTAGGCTGTGAGTTACTACCTAACTGATGAGATAGGGATCCTGTTCTCCAGGTGCCAAAGGGAAACCCATTTTTACCCTTGATGTGTTTAACAGCTGTGTCTCAATTACTTTGAATGAGAAGGCACTCAGACATGTATCTACATGGGCACTCAGTATCAGAGACTGCCCAAGTGTAAGACTTAGCTGTGGAGCATAAAGCCTGCTTATAAGCCCTCTAGAGCTGTGGAGTTGTTCCAAGATGTCATCATTATTTCAGAAACTTCTTACCTTTCCTCTCTGTAATTGTTAGTGTCAGTTCTTGTCCTCTTGGTTCAGCGGTAGTTGCTTCACCTCTATCCTCACTTTGATTTCCAGGAAGGAAGAATAAAAATATGTTAGAAGAGGAAAAATGATGCCAGTTTAAGAAGAGAAAAAGTGTCAACTAAGATATTTCTGCTTTCAGATTGCTAGCCAGGTCCTTAGGGTGTGGCCACACCTGAGCTCCATGAGGACTTGGGCAAGATAGCATTTTGGATTGTCCCAAAAACTCAGGGATAATTGAATAGGGAAAATGGGAAAAATATATATTAGGTCTAATAGTGTCTACCATATTGAGATATCTTCTGCTATGGAAGAATGGAATAGGAACAACTAGGAAGAAACCATAACATTCTATGCTGCTGTCAAAGCTAGAGCTTTTTACTGCCTCTCATATTGTCTACAACAACAGTCTCTCAAAAGGACTCCCTTCTTCTTGTCTCCAACCCTGCCAATCATCCACTGCTGCTCATAACTCCAGGGTTGGTCTACTGTAGTTTGGATCCTGCTTCTGCCTTTCCTTAAAAGCTCCAGTAAAATGGATACATTTTGGTGAAGGACACAAATATGCAGTTATAAGATGAATACGTTTTGGAGACCTAGTGTTTAACAGGTTGACTATAGTTAACAATAATATATTGTACATTTGAAATTTCTATGAGAGTAGATTTTATGTATTCTTACTATACACACAAAAGATAACTATGTGAAGCAATGGATATGTTAATTAGCTTGATTGTCAAAACATTTCACAGTGCATACCGGAATTAAAACATCATGTTATATACTTTGAACATATACAACTTTTATTTGTCAATTATACCTCAATAAAGTTGAAAAAAATCAAATACTTTTATGACCTGGAAAAGAAAAACAAAAATATGATTCCGGTCAATCCCTTTTACTACCAAATGAAACTCAGACTCTCTAGCAAGCCTTGTGCAGCCTTTCTATGTTAGGGTCTGTAAACAAGGCAAGATGGTGCCTGGCATTTTGCCAGAGGGAGTAGTTTGTAAAGTAACACCAGTGAGCCATTAAGTGTGGAGATTCCTTATTGGTTGACTGCTGTATCTAGTTTATGTTAATTAAGATAAGCTGTGTGGAATGTATATATACCCCTCCCGTCCTACAATAAAGGGCTCCCACTCCTGCTGTATCAATGTACACAAGTTGCTCATCACCCGCGTTAGTTTGCTCCAGCTGGACTGCGGCATTTCTATTAGACTTTCTCATCCACCATTTCTCAACACAAACAACTTCTCACTATTTCTTACTGAACTGATGGTGATCTTTAAAACCTTCAGTCCTTTTTCCTTTCTGTTTTTTCAATCCAGAGATAACCTGGCTCCTCCTCTCCAATTGGTATCTTACTACCCTATTGTTTGTAACTCACAATAGCATCTCTTCTGCTAAGTGTTCTCAACTCCTTCAAAAGTCCAGACTTGCTAAACATCACAGTCTTAGCTCCAGTTACACTGTTGCTAATTTGTGTACCTATCTGTCTCCTCCACTAAGTTATGAGTCATTGAAATGCAAGTACTGTATTTTATATACCACATAACCCCCATATTTAGTACAGTATTTGCAACATTGTAATCATTTATTGTAAGAACCCTGTTCTAGGCACTTTATATGAAGGAGGTACTATTTTTGTCATCCCCATTTTACATTTGAGAAAAGCAGCTAGAAGACAGTAACTCACAGACATTTATGTTTTGGCAAGATAAGGAGCCATGACTGGAATCTCGGCTTCTGACTGCAGTACTTACACTTCTAGTTGTTCCTCAATAAACAATTTGGTTCCGGAGAGAATGTGACTATGGATATTGCCCTACCCGTTTTGGAGAAGGCATCTTATATCACAGAGAAAGGTGTCATCTATATGCTCCCTTCCAGTTTATGATTCATCTTTGACCCATCTGCCAGCCCAGATCTCCTACTTAATCAGTGAACTTGGCACATGTGGGGGCTGCCCTACTTATGGTTCAGACCCCAGCTTCAGTTCCTTCAGGTCACCGGACACAGTGCAGACGCCTGGCATGGCTTCCCCTTGGTGCCTGTTCGTTCTCTCACACTCTCTCCCTGTCTATCTCTCCGTCTCTCTCCCTCTCCCCCCACCCACTTCCACTTCTCTTTGACAGATGTAAAATTCGTGCAGCCATCTCTGACGCTGCTAACCACAGGCATTCAGGAACAGCCTTGCTCCAAATCCTGCTTCCTATTTTCATATTTCCTGTGGCGTTTTATAGAAATAGCAGAACAATTGCTCATCCACAGGGGGTAAAGAGAGCAGGATTTTATATAATTAAATTTTAAAGTGACAAAGTTTTCTGGCATATGGGAAAATAGAGGGAAGGGGTGACAGGACAAGGACCCTCTGGGGTAAAAGAGAAGGCTTCTCTTTGCATTGGTGACAGAGAATCCAGCTTTAATCCTCTTTTGAAAGCAGTGATCAGGACCACGGACATAATTCATGCCTTTACTTCTGCTTCTCCTTGCATGGAGCTGCAGCACACACCAACTGGTAAATGGGTCCCTTGTCAAAGACTGCCTGAAATCCCCTGCATCCAAAGGGAGTGTCTGGATTTTTAGGAAGTGTTGATAATTTATTTCCAACTCCTGCACTGGAGGAAGAAGAAACAAGTGACAGCTCATCTCCCAAAAGGAACATTTTTCACGTGATGAAGAACAGAGATCAGCAACATCTGCCTGTAGCCAGCACGCCTGGAGTTTCCCATAAACACAGGTTTCCATGAAAACCAAACAAAGGAACATAGAGAATGGCCAGGCAGATTCCACTTCAGCTCCTGGATATAAATGAGTCTTACAACCTCCTTCCTTTTAAGGACAGGGACCTGAGGTGAGGCTGACCCCCCGCCCCTCGGCTGTACCTATCCCCTGCCCGTAGTCCAGTCTGGCCTCACATGGCAAGCAGGGTGCAGGGTGCACATGCACACTGCTCTTTGGCCATTTTCTGCTTTGATGTGTGTTAAGTGAAACGTAATTACCCATTTTGTCACATTGTGTGTGACTTTGATGGCCCACTGTGTGTGTGTGTGTGTGTGTGTGTGTGTGTGTGTGTGTGTGTTTAATATTTTTGAAGAACCTCAAGGGAAAAGCGTGCCCCCTTTGGGGTTTGTTTTCAGGGATTCAACATGGTGTTAAGCTGAAGACTTACCAGAGACTGGTTCCCCACTAAGAAGCAGGACCCCTTCCCCTTTGCCTATCAGTTATGAATCAAGAGGAAAAAGAAAAAGAAAAACGGAATGGGAGGGGCATATCCAGGAGTTTTTCTAAATAAGATGGGGGGAAGAAAAGGAATGAAGACAAAGGGGTTCAGCACATTGTAGTTGACCTCTTTTGCATGATGAATTACAGGAGCCCTCTCCCTCCACCATCGGAAACTTCCTACTTAAATATGAATTTAGTACCTTTTGTAAAACCTTTGTACTCAGAGTCTCATTTCTCTTACTCAGGAGGCTCCACCTCCTCAGCACACCCAAAGATTATCTCTCAAGCAGCTTGCCTCTCTCCAGCAGTGCCCTCCTCCCTGACCCAGTTCTCTGCTCTAAAGCAAGGCGTCTGGCTCCTCTAAGATAGTGCACACGCATGCACATGCACACACACATGCACCATGTCCCTGACCCTCTGAGCCTTCAACTTTTTGTAGAGACAAATATCATACCCCCTGGAAACAGATTTCTCTGAACACATTTTGAGCCTACAGATGCTGCTAGAGATCAGGCAGTGAGTTTTCTTCAATATGGAGCCTGCTCATTACTGCAATTAATTGGCATTGCTGTGCTAATGGTAAGGTGGCATGCCTATAATAGCCACCAGCAGCCTGCTGAGTGCGGGGTTGGGGGGAGACAGTGGTAGGAGCTGAACTGTGTGTGGTGTTTACAGAAGAGGAAACAAGGAAATCCATAACCATTCTCTTTTTCTGTAAAGCCAGGTTGTATGTTGGGGTTTAGATTAGCAATTTTTAGTCATCTTTTATTAGTGCTGGATTGATTGTCTGTTTATTTCTTTGTTATGTAGAAAAGTAGAATTATCTTCAGAACTTCCATTCCTGGCCAGTTGAATAAAAACAAAACTGTCACCCAATTACTTGTCAAAAATCTCAGAACAAGCTTTGGATAGGAGCAAATATTGTGTGTGGCTGATGCTCACACCCTAGACACATGCTAAATGAGATGATTGTTTCTAAACAGAGGATGACTCGGGGATTTCAAATGAAAGTATCTTGAGGAGTCTAAGTACAAGTGTTTTTGGCTATGGGATGGCAGGTCTCAAAGATTTGTCAGAATCATTCATTCATTCATTTAACCTCTGTTCTGCCCTCACTGTATTCAAGCACTTCACTGAGCTCAGGGTGCAAATAAATTTCAGTTCTAATCTGGCCTATGTCTATGAAATTTCCTAACAGTGTAAGCTCTGTGGGCATTTCCCCATGTATACAATGGGAGCTAAGACCTAGATGGCATCATGGGTCTTTCCAACCTTAAACCAAGTTGATCTAAAAAGAGACAATAGTAACAATGAGCTTATCTTCTTGTAGGGCTGATACCATATGTTTACAACCAACATATAAGTCAGTGTTGCATCATAAATGATACAAAATATTTCAGGAATTCAGAAGAAAGATATCTTTTCTTCTCTGACCAGATGAGACCACAGAGTAAAGGAGATGGGCTGAGAGATAGAGTAGAAGATGGGGTATATCACATGATGACTTCATTGTAAATTGGGGAGGCACTTGAGAAGAAGGTGTCCAGGAGGACTGAAAATCTGAAAAGTATAGTGACTTGAATTCTTAAGAAAGAGGTCTTTTCATAAATGAGAAGATCATTTTATGTGGCCACATGCTGCCAAGAGATCAAAGAAGCTAGCCATCACACACTGAACAAACAGTTTTCCAGATAGTAGACCTGGGGTCCTCCTGATGGGCCCTGCTGGGACTGCCAATGGACACCCAGGAAACCACCCCAGGGTGCTCTTTATGGTGGTAACTATATCCCTGTTCTCTGAGCCTGGTAGTGTCTATAAATCTAGCTTATTGTTCTGTGGACAACAAATGCTGCTTTTTCAGATGTTGAAAAGTGACATGCTGTGTGATGAATGGCAGGTCTGTTACATTGTTCAGACATTTTGGACTTTCTTCCTTATTCTTCTCTCTGTCATTTTTTTTTTTTAAACTAGGCTGGCTTCTCGACAATGGTTCTGATTCTCATTCCATGGACTCCTGAATCAGAGTCTTCCTTTTGCCCTTCATAAATTATACCTATTATCCTGTCTAAGTACTCCTCATCCTCAAATGAGCCACAGCAGAGGGAGTATTCCTGAAGAAGGGAGGGTAGATTCTTGCATTTATTAAACTGCCACTAAGTAAAAATGAATGCTGGACTTGGAGTTAGAAGACTCAATTTGCGACCAAGATATTCCACCTTCCACAAAGAAAACTTTGTCAGATTTCTTAATATGAGCCTTAGTGTACTCATTTGGCAAAAGGGGACATGGCTTTGATGGACAGAACGTCTGGAAGAGAATTAAATTATGTAAGAAAATACAATTTATTATGCAGATTCAACATTTTGATGTCAGTCATGGTTATTATGACTATGAAAAGAGGGATAATCTTTCTAAAGTTTATCAAACGTTCTAGAAGCATAGTAATGTATGTGAATAAAAATTGTGTGTACATGTGCCCAGCTTCTCTTAATCAGTGTCATTTTCTTTATTGTCAATCAATGTTACCCCAAAGGCTCATGAGTGGAAGAATGGTCCACAATGCGGCAGCGTCCATGTGGGAGATTTTAGGAAGTGATTACATCAGGAGAGCTCTAACATCATCAGTGAGGGATTCATGACTGAATGGACCTAGTTGGAGAAAATAGGTCTTTGAGAGCATGTCTTTGGGGAACCATATATTGTCCCTGACCCCTTCCTCTGTTTCTCTCCACTTCTCAAGCACCATGAGGTGAGCATCTAGGCTCCTGCACACTCTTTCTGCTAGGATGTTCTGCCTTACCAGAGGCTGATAGCAATGGAGCCAGTTGGCCACGGACTAAAACATGAACCCAAATAAATCTTCCCTAATTTTTTTAATATTTATTTTTTTTTCAGTTGTACACAATACCTTTATTTTATTTATTTATTTTTATTTCGTGCTGAGGATCGAACCCAGGGCCTCACCCGTGCTAGGTGAGTGTTCTACTGCTGAGCCACAACCCCAGCTGTCTTCCCTTTTCTACGTTGTTTTTCTCAGGTATTTTGTTACTGCAACAGAAGGTTGAACAACAAAGTTCGTTTCTTAGTTAAGTAAGGTATGTGGTGTTTGTTCACCTCTCTCCTCAATGCATTTTCCAGGGAATGTTTGATTCTCTAGCACTTCCACTGGGCATTTGGTTGCATTGCATTTGTGACCAGCCATCAAGTCCCGACCTCTTATAATGAACATGGGGGCAAACAGAGGGTAAGGATTCTGTTTCAGCAAATCTTAGCTTGTTATGCTCCCAAGAAGCAGAGGACATCACATACAGGAGGGGCAGATAGAGCTTGTTCCTTGCCCTACACTATCAGTGGTGCCTAGGCCAGGCCAGCACCCTCAAGGACCAAGAGCATGTTTCCCCTGACAAGAAACCGTGGTACTTGATTTTTCATTGCAGGTGACCCACAGCAGGGGCTGAGGATTGGGAAGATTTTCAGATTGGAAGATTTCTGACTATTGCATGCTCTTCTCTGGGAAGAGCCTTAGCATATTCTTTCTCTCCTTTATGGTAGAGCTTCTCATGTCATTTGTGGAGCTTAAAAGTCACATTGACCTTTGAACTCTCATTGAGGGGACTCCACATTTTCTGAAAGGATACAAGGAGACAAGGAAGCAGGAAGACCAAGAATATCAGAGACGGACAGCATATCTGACCAAAGTGGAGGGTGCAGACATACGGTCTTGAGTATTTGTATGAATTAATGTTAGGTCTAGATGGTTTGTGTACCAAACACTTTGGGGGCTCAACTTTTCTGGTGAAGTTTCTTTGAAAAGTTGCATCATTGCTGGGCAGAAAATATATTTAACAGTGAGAATGTAGGAGGAGGAGAGGGGTGCTAGAGGCACATCCAAGCAAATATAGGAATGTAAATGACTCAGTTTCCTTCTTTGTAAAGCAGATGATGATGTGGAGTTGAGTTGCTGGCAGGTTAGCTAATGAGTGGGTGTCATGTTAATTAATATTGCAAAGAAATGTGAAAGTATAAAAACTTTAAAAGCGCCCTGGTGTTGTATGATTTTTTTTTTTTGGTATGCCAGTATTTATAAGATTGAGGAAGTAAGAGAAAACCAGAAGCAACAGGCATGTGAACACCAAGTAACACCAGTCAGAGGCTGAGTAAAGGAATGTTAAAGAACTGTCCTCACAGGTCAGCACATGTCTTTTTCCCCAATGAAAAGTTAATGTAAAACTGTGGATGATTTTGGATGCAAGTGACAAAGTCCCTTCCTATCAGAGGCTCAATAAATTAGCACACCAAAGAAGCCTGAAGACAGGATGTCTAGAAGCCCAGCAGTGGCCCCCTGGACAAGAACCCAGGAGTCAGTAATTGGTCTTCATTTTATGAGTGGATGGGGACCATGTCTCTCCCAACACCACCTGGCCATGATCAAAGGCAGAAATGATGAGGCCTGGGAGATACACATGCTTCTTTTAGATTAGAGAGGAGTATTTACACCTGTTGTGTAATGTGGTCATCCACAGTTGCAAAAGAGAACAGTAAATATCTGGATTTTTAACCTCTGTTATGGGAAGCAGGCTCTGTCAAAAGCAAGGAAAAGAGAGAAGAAAATGATTTTAGATAGATATCACCATCAATGGATTTGTAGATAAAGGTCTGATACCTGTTAGGAAATAGTCACTCTGATTATTTGGGGCAAGTGTGTAGATTCCTCTAAACGACAGTGCTATTTTTCCAAATTCTCTGCCATTCTTACCTCAGGCTTAGTTTATAAAATTTGGCTTTACGGTGTCTTCTCCCACCCCTGGGTCATTTCTACCTACAGACTATCCCCAATGAATCTGCATATGGGACCTGCACTGCTGAATAAATGCCTCAGTTGTTATCCTTCCAAACAAGAGACTATGGGAATGAAGACTTGGGAGCCTTCAGTAGCTTTTTATTGCTGTTTACAAGCTCTAAAAAACTGGACACACTAAAATATGTATATGGCAGCCCTGAAAATCAGTACTGAGCCCCTGCTTGGGGCCTGAAAGAAATGGAGGCAGTTCTAATGAAACACCAGGCAGTAGGCCTAATGAGAAGTTGGTCAGATGTTCAGTGACATTGCCTAACCCACAGGCTTCCATCTGCTTGCACCCTTCTCTTCCAAATGAGGTACCAGTTGTTTGTTCAGTAACCAACTGGCCACACATCTCTTCACCTCCTCCAAATTGCAACCAGTGGCAACAGCAGCAGAGGTTCCCTCCTTACCAGACCAGAGCGGCACACAGGATTGTTCATTCTCCTCCCTCTATCTTGATGCATTTTTCATCATTAAAGGGAAAATGTCATTTCGGTGACAGATATTAGTATGATTGGTGTCAGGAATGAATCTTCCTTTCTCTGTCAGCCTTGCTTCACACAATCCTAAGACAATGTTCTGTTAAAAGGCCACTTCCATTTCCAACTCATGCAGCGTGTGAGAAGGGCAGGCTTCGGCTGTGATGGATGGGTTCAGTCAAGGCTGGCGCCATGCCAAGGAGCGCAGCTGGAGCTTGACCCTTCCCCCATCCGGTGAGCCTGAGGACGATTCTGGGAAACTCCCTGTCTTATTTCTAGCTGGATCTTGTTGGTACAATAGTCTTAAAATGAGGGAACATGCTACACTATTTGGTGATAAAATACTAAAAGATGGAAGATTTCCCATTATCAATGACACATAGCATCACATTAATCCATACCAATATATTGGAAAGCTGATCTAGAAGTGTAGATTTTATTTTATTTATCTTCAGCCAAAATGTAAGCCAACCCCTCTAGACCTTTTCTAGATACATGTCTGGACCTTTCACAAGTTGAAGATAATAATATATTCCACCTTGACAGCAGACCTCATCTGACGCTCTACAGAAAAATAACATTTCAGAACTCACTGAGGGTCCAATTTCCTCATGCAAGTAATAAAGATAATAGTACTTACATTTTTCTCAACTATTGAAAGGCCAATTCAATGAATATTTATTGAAGTCACATTCTGTCCCACACATTGCTCAGCTTTGGGAAGGGTGAACCTGCCTTCAGAGAGCTTATAGCCTGGAGTCAGTGAAATCAAACAAATACATTATCAATAATAATACAAACACATATGCGTGTGTACATGTATATGCGTATATTGTGATAAGATAGATTTTATAAAATAATTGATATCCACAATAGGGGGAGAGGAAACTGGGGAACATTGGTGAACATAATGTTTCATGGAGGAAAGGAAATCTGGACTGGTCCTGTCTGAATTCGATTTAGAAAGCTGTGCATGAAAGAGAAGAAATCCTGCAGAGAAAACTTCTGAGCAAATTCATAGCCTGTGACTTTTAGTGCAACTTTGCAGAGAGACCAGTAGTATATGTTGACTGATCATTGGTGTTAGGTAAGGGTAGACATGAGACCATAACAAGGTCAAAGATAAATGCTATTATGTTTGCTTGGGGATAGTTCCCTTAGAGCAAACCTGGGAGTTTAAACTTCAGGTTATAGTCAGGGAAACCACTTAAAATTTTTGAATATGTCACAGACATTATGAGAACTCTACAATAGAAAGATAAGTTGGCTTCTGCATTTGGTATTGTTTGTATTAGCTATTATCTAACTTTTTCTAAAGTAAAAATAATTTAAAGTACTTAAAATATCCTTATTACTATGCAAACATTAAGTTCTTAGGTAAAATAATATATAATTGCATCTAAAAATAAATAAAAGGTAATTGATGATAAGTGTAAAATAAACCTTTGTGCACAACTACATCAAAGATGTAATGAAGTATAGCTTTATCTATGTATAGAGTCACTATAAACAGAACAACAAAGCTACAGTACAGATTGAGACAGGAATGTAAAGTTTGTGACTTCAATACAGTGAGAAAAATTCCCATTTTTTTTAAATGTATTTTTTTAGTTGTAGGTGGACACAATGCCTTTATTTCATTTTTATGTGGTGCTGAGAATTGAACCCAGTGCCTCACGTGTGTCAGGTAAGTGCTTCACCACTAAGCCACAGCCCTAGCCCTCACATTTATTTTGCAATCTTCCAAACCAGCAACACGTTCTGGTAAATATCTGAACAAATCAAACAAAATCTTCCCTTAACTTACAAGGTAGTTGCATTCCTTGAGAATTAGCATACATTAAAACCTTGTAAGAATATTTGTGTTTAGTTGTCCAATGGAGTATATTTTACAGCTTAGGTTAAAAGGTTTCACTCGCCTGAATGCTTGGCAGGCATTTGACATCCATGAGTAAATAGTCTGTGCATTGCTGAACATCTAACCTCTCTGACCCCATGCACTGAGGGCAGCAGTACTTCCCCAATGATGGCTATAATCAGTCTCCACCCTATATGCCATCCCTCCTCACTTCTCCAGGAACCTCCCCTATGCATTTTAAGAAGCACTGATTTAGGCAAATGCAGGGTTGGAGGCAGAGAGATGAGTTAAGATT